TTACTAAGGAATATTCTCTGAAGCATCTGGGTTACAATCAGCTGAAGGCCGTGATTTTCTAGAACTGTACGTAATTGTGCTTTTGGTCATATTTTTAAAACACACATTTTCATGCATCACGTTTTAGGCAACATTTGGCTGTAGGACATTAGCTACTATTATCACAGTCTGCATCTGCCATCTGTTCCTCAAGCACTTTCACATTTGGTTTTATAGTCCAGGATTGGATGTGGACACACCCCTGTTCACATTTTGTTTGTTTTATTCAGTAAAATAAGGGAAACGATTCATCCTGGGATCAGATATGATTCTCTCATGTTGTCACCTTGAGCCAAGCATAGCAAATGAAGTAAAAGATCACTGTGCTTCATCCTAGGCTGAAAGTAGCAATATTAACACCCTGGGAATTAAGCAAATGTTTAATTAACAGACCTAAAAGGGTCTTTAGTTGTACTTTAATTATTGGGGTGAGTCCTGAACAAACAATACTAATTCTGGACCACTGTAAAAATAAAATGTACTGTATAGCAGAATGTACTTTCAATAAATTGTTCTTTGCAGTGGGTTGAGAATGAGAATATATCAGATTAAAATGGCAGGAGAGGGTAAAACAATATAAAAATCATTAAGAAATATGATTGAGCAATAAGTATTCCACAAAGCAATTACATTTTTGTTATGTAGTAAACATTTATAAAACATCACTGGAAATATGACAAAATTTGACATTTTGGGGCATTTTGGGCGTTCAATTACAAACAATACGAGTAGCAGAACAATACGTTTTTTCTATGCCCAACAATAAAAGCGGGATTAGGGACATTATAATAAAAGTATTGTGGAGTTTTTGTGAAGTCTGCCAATTTCTGTTTACAGCAATGAAAACATTCTGTGGCTCCAAAATTAGCAATATAGAACTCGTGAAAACCAAACAAAGAAACAGTAAACAGAACAGACAAAAACAGTAGCTGTGTTGTGCACACTCAGAAGGTCTGTGCAAAATCTTGCATGAATTAAACTTGTTAAAGCTCCCTGCAGTTCACAGCTCAGGCCTGTCTCTGCAACCATATTAATTAGACACACACACAGTGAGAGGCCCAAATTGTACATGACAGGATTGCTATCTCTTCCAAGTTCTATTTAATCCACTGTGTTCTTGCTACATTACATTCTCAAAGGGATTTACTGCTCCTCGTTAGAGCTCATGTGTTGTTTAACTGCCCAGCTTCTCTATGTTAAGGTGACGAACCAATTAATTGCAAAGGGATGCAGTCTAGGATTGACCAGATGAAAGTCACTATAATTGTGATTACAGGAAATGTACTGTACATGCACAAATTCCAAAGTGATAGCTGTAGCACAGAATTTCTTTAGTTTATTTAGCTCATGGGACAAAAAATAGTCTTTTTACGCTGATGTACATTGGCATAATGGACACAGCTCTTCCTCTGTGTCAGATAACCAGTGTTTGTCAGCCCGACCTGTGTGTTTCCCTGATTAGGTTGATATAACTGTGTTCATCCCAGGCTCATGATGCTCTTGGTAATCAGTACTGAGCACTTTTTTTATTATCAACAAAGAGGGAAACATTTTGATTGACCTAGAAATATATTTTTCAACCAGTACTGTATCAATTTCTTTGATGAATAAGCATCGGCTTCCACCTCAGCCTGTCCATATCCACAAAGATGGAGAGAAATTAAGTGATGAGAGATCTTTGTGTTCACTTTTGGTCACAGGTGACATTTCAGGTCACCTGTAATGTTTCCTGTGTATCCAGTTAACTTAGATGCTTCTATGTCTGTTTTTAATTGAAGGCATGAAAAGGGTGTTTGGTTGAATGAGCTTATCTTGAGGAGAATCATCTTTAATATCAATTTCAAGAAATCACTCTCTCAGGTCTGACATGAGTTGACTAGAAAAAAGTACATATAAATGCTAGTCATCTGTGGATACTGTTCAAGGCAGTGCAACTCCTAAATAATTTGACAGTCAAAATGTGAAAATGTGTTAATTTAATGAGCAGAACCCATTTCAGGAGAACGGTTTCTCTCAGGAGCTCATACAGTGCTACTGAATCAATAATTAAAAACAGTACTACAGTAGCTTTACTTAAATATCAGAAAAGCTTCATACAAACTCTACACCTATCTCCTATCGCAAAAACAAATAGAATCCTGATACCCTTCTCCAAAAACAAGGAGCTCTGTCTGTAATTACAATTATATAAACTAGCACCATTAATGAAATTTAATTTAAACATTTAAGAAGCCCTAAAGTATCTAAAAACCTCTGCCTTGAATTGTAGCATGATTTATTTTAATATTTTGCTGTCAGATGATAAGTCAACAAAGTACTTCATAAAGAAATCTATACAGTATGTGTGCTATCTAGAAACATTTACCAAAAATAAATAGAAAATTAATGTGTAGGTCATTTTTTTGATGGTGGTGCTAAAATAAGTACTATGATCTTCTATATATAGTACAATATACGACATTTATATAGGATAAACATACATTAAAAAATAAAGTTATCTACATCAGCTCTGTGAAGGTGCCCCCCATAGAAATGGCACAAATGCTGAAACCCACCACATTTGTCAGTGCTGCATTTGTGCCAATTTGTGTCATTGAAAGTAGCCTGTGCTGCTTTCGTTTCTGAGATATAATGACTTATTTCTTTGGGGGCGTGACGTCACTCTGTCCCCCTGCAAAGGCGCAGGAGAACTGAACTGGTCTGATTCATTAGTGCCGTGTTTGTGCATTCAGGCTGAGGCAAGGCAGTGAGAGTTGGCGGGCCAAAGCTGTGTCTAATAATAGGAGAAAGAAAGAGCAGGTTTGCCAGATGTACGTAAGAGCAGACTAGCGGCTGCAGCTCAAGAAACCCCTGGTAAGGGGAGAGACATGAGAGCAACAGTCTCAGAGGAGACAACGGAGAATATCGTAAGAATCCTGGAAGGTACCGAGTAAGAGCAGCTATTCCAGAGGGGATTGTCCAGTGTGAAAGACGTGATTGTTTAAAAAGAGAGCAGCCTGTTGAGTGTGAGAACAGGGCTGTGCAGTAATTCTGCTGTGACGGAGAATGAGAGTGAGTTAAAGCTCCATTGAGATGTGGAGTTAGTGAAGAGTAGTGGCTGGGCAATGGGAAGGTGAGAGGTTGTGTGGGTTTTAATGTGAGTGTGTCGAGTCTCGAGAGTGAGGCGCTGGAGATTTGGTGTAATGAGTGAGTTGAGTCTGAGTGTAAGAATGAGATACTGGAGACTCAGAGTTGTGTGAGACTCAGCCCACTGGTGTTGGGAGATGATATCAGCGGCTGAAGGTGGACCTAGAAGTTCAAGAGCTGGCTGGTCACGAGAGGACCAGATCAGGAAGGAAGTAGGACTCTCCTGGAGGGATGGCTAAGAGGAGGGAGGTTCCTCGAGAGATCGAGTAGTGATCTGGAGGTGCAAGAATGACCCTGAAGAGAAGCAGCTTTTTCTGTTGCTGTGTTGGCCTGCCAGTAAGACAAAGAAGGCAGTAGAGGGGGTCGAGTCAAAAAGGATTGACAGATTCGAGGGTGTTTCACTGCTGCTCCCTGAAAGGGACTAGTGAGAGCTAGAGGTGAAACACATCGAGCTCAGGACACCACGAGTTAAGGTATCAGAGATGCGAGAAACCTAAGGTGTGGTCTCGGAGGAGTTCAGAGAGGACAGGGGCATAGGCTAATTGTAGCCTCTTGGCCCAAGAGTCCATGAGCTGGGGGCCCAGAAATCTTGGAGTAGACGTATGCGCGCCTCGGGTCCTGGTTGCCTGGATGATGGGGGCCGTAATCATCACCACACTCGGAGGAGAGTGCATGTTAAGAAAGAAAAAGTGGACAAAAAAGTTCCCCCGCAGGCTGTGAGGGGTGTGTCTGGAGCGTCAGGTACCTGTTGGTGCCACTTTTGGCAGCCTCTACCCCCGTGGCATCACACACATCCTTGGAATCAGCCAGCTTTCTTTGAGTTAGTTCTTCCTCCCTGCTGCTTTCAACAGCTTCCAGAGTCTCTGCCTGAGCCTCTCGCAGTATTAGTGTTATTTGTATGAGATACTGTTTGGCTCTGGGGTCACTGTGGGTTCTTACGAATATTCTTCCACCTCCTCTATTGTAAACTCCAGCTTTCCTGATCTTTTATCCATATATAATACTTAGGGTAAGGATTAAAGTTTAGAATTGGGGTTGCACTGAGACTGAGAAATTTGAACTGATTTGAATATAATATGTACTTCAGTAGAGTGCACTAGTGTTGAAAATTATGCTAATGACTTAAGTAGTTACTCCAGTTGACCAGTTAAGAAAATTGCAGTAATACAGTGTGAACTACTTTGACGTGAACCAAGGGAAATGAAAGGATGTCATGGGGAAGTGTATTTAAAAGTTCTTTACACAAAGAGTTGTGGGAGAATGAAACAGGCAATCCAGCCATTTTGTTAAAACCAGCAGCCTTTCAAGCAATGCCTGCATGAGATTATTGAATGCAACCGATACCATTAAACAACGGTATTCTATCCATGTAGACCTTTATAAATGAAAAGACTACATGGATCGAATACTGTCCTCTTATTTGAACTTTGTAATGTTCTAGTAACCTCTTAAATGAACACATAAGCTGCCTGACTTATATGAAGTACAAAGGTAGTAAACTGGGTATATGATAAACGTTTACAGATGAAAAATTGATGACTTCTTGCTCCAACGTTAAGATCAATCAGGTTATAGATTGCAGTGTCATGCAAAAAACTTTCCTGTCGCTTTCAAATACTAATAAGGATTAAATCTACTGTGATTGCTTAGATGGCCATGGGAAAAAAGATGTTTAAACTTGTAATTCATGGGCGCTTCTGAGACCATGCTCGTTTTCTTCCACAAGTCTTCAGGTGGCAGAAAAAAAGCTACCTGCAGCGTCAGTCTGTAACCACGCCCACTCGAATGACATCACTCACAGGCCACGCCCCACGCACCTGTCCGCTTGGTTTTGCTAGAGCGAAGGGAGCCGAGTGAGTTTGTTCTGCATCTTTTTACGATTAATTTTAGTTTTCCTTTATTTGAATGTAGATAAAATTGAACTCATGTGATTATGTAGTCTAACTCTCTCAGAGGAAAGGAAACGTATATTCGTTGGGAGCTAAATTGCATTTTAATGTAAGCCTTACTTTTCCAACGCTAATCTTATTTTTAACAAGCCACTTGTGTGACACAGCGTGTGTATTTCTTTTTCATCGAAGAAAAGCTCTGTTGTAGTGTTAAAGACTGCTGTATTGACAATGAAAACGTCGCTTTCCATTTTTTTCTTGATCTAAATCTTTCTCAAACATTTCGTGAACTTTGTTCACAAAATCAAGCTTCTGCATTTTTCCAAACCCAAAGTAGCCTTTCTAGAATTGTAAAGTTTTTTCATTGTTTTCCAGTGTATGTTGTGTGCTTGCGTTCCTATATTTGAGGTAAAATTTTTGGATTGCAAATAGTTTTAAGTTTAAATGGTCTTTAAATTCTGTATTCTGCAGTTTTTGTGTTTTCAGTTTGGTGTCTTCGGGTAGGACATGATTCGCACTAAATAAACGTATAAACGTGAGTATAAACATTTTATTATTTTCTTTACACTTATCTTATTGAAATGTATTCTGCGCTATGTACCCTGGTGAAAACGCCGCTCTCTACTTAAGAAATCTTGGTTTATATTACCTTTAAATTATCGTCTAAATACATCTGTTCATTTGTTTCCAGTTTAGTGTCTTCGGGCAGGACATGCTTGGCTCAGGTCCTGGAATTATCTATGTAAGTATAAACTTTTGTATTCGTTCATACACGGTATATACTTTACTTCCCGAAAAATGTTGTTGGAAAACGTGATGCACCTTGACTAAAGAAGATTCAAACTAGATGCTAGATTTCTACACGGCAGAAATGGTTCTGACCCGATAGCACGGTAGGCCTGCTGTTTATAGAGCACATCTTCTTCTAAAATTGCAATCACTTCAGCTTTTTTTATGCGTTTTGATCATACAGGTTCGTAAGAAACGGTTTTGGGTTACAGATTGCATCACAACAATTAAACCAACAGATCCTATAAAAGATTTGGATTATTTATTCATGTGTTGACTAAATTGTTTCAGAAAAATAATCTAATCGAAACACTGTAGCTGCATTGATTGTGTCGTGCCTTCGGTATTCACAATTGAAATGTAAGCCTGAGAACTGTACTTCAAAAATCTGTTGAACAGAAACATATTTACACCAGGCTAGGGGTTTTATTCCAGCTGTAAATCTTCGTAAACTGTTTGATCTTCAATATCGAGATCCTGCGTGTAACAGAAGGCACAGCTAATACGGATTTCTGTTGTTTTGCAGGAAATGCAACAACGTTTGTCTTCATTCTGGTCGCTGTCTCGACAGATGCCTTGGAGAACCAGTAACGTGCTGTATGTTTCTGCGTTTTACCATGTAGTTGCTTGCAAATCTTTTCATACTCCGTTTACTTGTAACAGTATATAGTGTTAATGTAGCCGTGTTTTGAGATTTTGTCATTTAAAAACGATAATTTTCACTTCAAAGCCTTTGTATGTGTCGTACTGGAATGCTTTGTTTTGCATGCACGTTTAGCTCAATAAATGGTTAATTGACGTTTGTGTTCTTTAATTTCTCGTGCAGAGGTCTGTACCCCCTAGGTCCCGAAAAACCTTGATGTTGGTGAGTTTTTTGGCGGAGAGATTTTGCGAACAGTTTCTGAGAAAAGATGCGATGGGTTGTTTTGCGCCACGCACAGCAAAGGGACACCCTATTGCACTTTGACTTGGAAACTGCAGAGGCTACCCCCTTTTTAAGTGTGGCCAGATTTTCCCGCCAAAAAACTTAGTATATGTCTGGGATTTTTCAGGGCGTGGTATCAACCCATCAATCAAGCCCCCTCACTCCCAGCAGCAGAGGAAGGCAGGCTGGTGATGGCTTTGGTCTAGGGACCCTAAACCCCCCAGAGACTATCTAAAAAGGCGGGAAAATCTGGAGCCGTTTAAAAAGGGGGTAGCCCCCACAGTTCCCAAGAAAAAAATGCGACAGGGTGTCCCCTTGCGGTGCGTGGCGCAAAGTACAAAACAACCCAATGCATTGTTTCTTGGAAACTGCTTGTGATCGCTCCAGAATCTCCAGCCAAACACTTACAGTACTGAGACATCAGCCCAGAGCAAACCCTTCCAACACCCCTTCAAAAAATAGAAGACAATTCAGAAAATGCGATCAACAGCTTTTATTGTACAATGCACAGCACATAGCAGCAGTCAACAGGAAAACACAGGTTAAGAACTTCGCTACATGAAGAGCAAGATACATCACTCAATCGGTGCATTTCAGATCAAGCCACTGGTGTCAATAACGAAATTTAAGGAGAAATACACATTGCCAAGAAGAACTTGCCAACGCACGAAGAGTTGCTGGAAAGGAGATCGTCGGAGCGCTGAGGACCAAGAGCAGCAGAACTGAAGGCAAAAGAAAAGGGATCAAGTTAACAAGATATCGGACGGATTTACAGAATCGATTCACTTGACGTTCTCAAGTCTATTAACTTTTGAAATAATCTGACTGAATAAAGAAATGCACAAACGCGCTCAAATTCCCCCAAACCCAATATGTAATTTCATGAGAAATCACGGATAGACCCCACTACCATTACTCCAATATTTAGAAAATACGCTCATCTACATAGAAATGCAATGCTACGTAGACATTTAAGATCAAGTACCATTTACGGCGTGTATCATATTTGATTTGACTCCCTGCGTTGAAAACATCGTTCAAATTTGTAGTATCAACCTATGCCAAACTGATGAATAAAAAAATCAGCGCCAGTTTCCCCTTTCTATTCAACAACGAAACGAAAAGAAGTTACATACTATAAAACCGTCCTGGTGTTTAAATGCTGGAAAATACGTGTCTTATCGAGTTACAGAAATATATATATAGTATAAGCTGAATGTACTGTAGGAATTTAACTTACCCTGGAAAAAACAGTTTTTCCATAACTGGAGATCCCCTCTTGAAATCCTTTTGTCACCTGGGTTAATAAAAGAATATGAATTGCTACATTTAATACTCAATATTTAATCATTTCGGAGCGGAAAGCATTTTTATAGCCCGAATCTGAAAAGGAGAGAGCACACAGCTACTGACTTTATAAAGTAAACTAGGAATTTGTAACGCTTGATACGTTGGTAAACTATAGCCTTTTTTGTTAAAAGAAACTGACAAAGAGATACCATATATTAAAAACAAACAATGTTTTTTAAAACGTTAAAAAATACACTAAAAGAACGCTAAATGCAGACTTTTAAAGCTTCGGGAGCACGCTCAAACGGACACAACTCCAATTTCGGCGTCTTAAAACACAAATTAAACCGAAACAAATGCAATTAAAAAAGTAGCAACAACAATACAATTTTGTCTAGCTTCCCTCAAAGTGAGATTTGATTTTTTTTTGCACATAAAATAAGAAAATTAGAAATAAAACGCGAACGCACCTAAAGCCGCAGAAACTCATCCAACCGCCATCTTGCCGGGCGCACCTGTGGAACAGGTGGACGGGGCGTGTCCGCTGAGGAAGGCCACTCTGGAGGCGGGCTCGGCTCCTGAATGACAGCTGTGAATTCTGTCACAAGGGTTCAACACTGACCATGCTGAAGATAAATAGAAACTTTAACTCACCAGATCGTAAATAAAGTATACACTATAACGGCTAAGGATTTTCAGACAACCTAACACAGTGGCATTCCCCAACGAGGCCGCTCGCCGGGATCGTATAGCTTGCGGTCGGACGATCGAATTAAGAGAAATGTGCTGGAGAGAGACCCCTGTTGCTCCTTTTTAGGACGGCACCTCTCTTTCTCTGCTAATGACACACCTGTCCTGAAGGTGTCTCGGTGGTATAAGGGGCTGCTTTTTAGAATTGAATTAAGAACTACTAATTCATAAAGGACTTAAATCCCCCATTTTGCCCGGTTTTGGAGGGCCCCGAAAATGGAGCCCCCCAAAACGGCCGGCGTGGTAGAGAACAGCCACCTCCACAAACTCACCCCGACAGCACGAGAGCTGAACCCGGGGCTCAGATCTCAGTTTGACAGGGAGGCTCGGGGCTCGTCTACATCTCACAAGATTCTTTGAGAGCCGATCTGCTCTCTGAACTTTAGAAGTATCCAATGGTTCAGCCCTCAGAGCCACCAGGCCGGCCACGCGAAATACCGGGCATGTAAATCTTTCATTCAGTCTAAAGGCAAGTCGGTTCCTTCTGTTTGCTCGCATTTCAAGTATTTAGGCTGCTGAGACGCCTTTGTAATGCGTTTTTCTAGCATTTTGATGCGACTGGACATGACTTGTTCATCTTTTCGAATGACAGTGAAAAACAAAGTATCAAAAATTCTCTAAAGTTTAAATGTTTTTTTTATTTTTTACACATAATGTATGAAATCATTCTAAAGACAAAAAACAACTAAATGAATGATTAAATCCATCTACACATTTTATAGCCCTGCTGGTGTCGGTATCCCTTCAGTTTCTACCAGTAGCTGTCACGACGATATATTTCCATGGGCTTTTGACAAAATTCCACATAGAAGTTTTATCTTTCAGATTTAATATGTTAAAAATCAAAGGCAATGCATGTAAATAGAATGTGAACTAGTGTACGCATAGAAAACAGAATAGTGATAAGGATGTAATAACTAGTTGTGCAATCAATGGAGCATCACATTGTTTCTTATTATTACTATTAGAGAAGCTATTATTTCATATACCAGTTACTGTAGTCGAGTGCAGGTGGTAAAAATGTTCTCTATGAATATCAGGCAATGAACTAGTGAAGCAGAGTGCGACAGGTGTTTAGGAGCTTTATATTGACTTATAATTGTCATCTCTATGAGGGATATGCAAATTCTTTTTGAATAATTTAAAAAAAGTAATCAAAATGCAGTATCGTGTTATACACTGGATACACAGGTTATACTGTGTATAACCTGGTTATACAGGTTATACACTAAAGTGTTATGATGTGATTTGAGCAGCTGCTTGCTGATTGCTCAGCCAATCAGAGTAAGGCACACGCCAACATTCTCATTCCATTTAAACCGCCCGTGTGATCCAACATCAGCCCAGACTAATTAGACTCCGTCTGCAATGTTCAGTTAATAAGCAACTTTAGGGATGAAGTTATAAAGCACATCTAGGATGAAAATCACTCTACAAATACACTGCAATTTCTGCCAGCACTGTTACCACCTTCTAGCCAGGTCTCAGAAACTAAGCAAGCCACTGAAATGAGATGCCACTAGTATAAAAATCACTTATGAAACAATCATCCCATTGTGGTACCTTAACCTCAGTTAGTGGAGTTTATGATATCTCTAATTAATGGAAAGTATGTCCGTAAGCATGTAAATTAACAGCAATATACCATATAGCAATAAATTAAAATGATCTTCAGGAATGTGCCCAAACAGAATAGTTTTCTTTTTTGCTCAGATGCAAAATACTGAAATCAGAAAATGAGTGCCAGAAAGTAAGTTGCAGTAGCCCATATAAATATAGTTTTAAGTGAAAGGCAGTTTGCAAGAAGCATGTAATTGTAAGTTGCAGTTCATTGAATCAAGGAAATTGTAACAACTGAAATGATTGTGTGGGAAATCATTTTTCAGCCACATTCCAAAATTCCTCCAAAACATTCCTCTAGCCTTGTCTTCAGTTAAACAACAATCGAAGCCTGGAATAAAATCTAATGGGAGAGTGTTTTATGTTTTATTCTATAATATTCCAGATAACGGCAATAAATTAAAATGATCTTCAGGAATATACAGGAACTGAATAGTTTTCCTTTTTTGTTCAGATATAAAATACTTAAATCAGAAAATGAGTGCCCCCTGGAGATTGAATAAAGTATTTTGAATCTAAAAGAATCAAACTGAATTGAATTATTTTGTGATGAATGTCCTGACTGTCTTGAGAAATTGTGTGCTGGTGGAAGGAGCCGTATTTTCTTCAACTGAACAGAGTTAAAGTACACAGGCAGTTTTTCAGTAACTTAACACTCTATGGGTGACAGGGCCTTCTCCTCTTATGCCCCAAAGCTCTGGAACTCTCTCCACAAGGACATCAGAGAGTCACCTTCTCTAAATTCCCTCAAATCCAGGCTCAAAACCTTCTTCTTTAGAAGAGCCTTTACTTAACTGGTTCTTTTCTTTACCCCTCTGCTTCTACTGTATTTAGTACCCCCTTCTATTGTCTCCTCTGTGTATTCTGATCGTGTTTATCTTGTGTAATTTTTTATTTTTACTGTTGTTGTCATTCTGTATAGCGCTTTGAGAGGAGCTATATAAAATAAAGTAGTCTGCAAAGGAACAATAGGTTTATTCCATGCTGAAAAGAGAAGAGAGAAAACACCTTTTTGCAGTCTACTCATGCTGATGCAGCTACCCACCTGAACTAAAGTTTATTATTATTATTTTTATTATTAACTTAAGGTTCTAACACTATTTATTGTGCTGTGCCGCTGCTGTACCAATGCTTGGCATCTGTTTTCTTAATTGCTCAATTTTATTTTATTTCTGGACTTTTTAACTCTCAAACCACTGTATTACATCAACCAGACTCTCTCTTTGCCATCAAATCTGATACTATATATCCTTCAGCATTTTTTTCAGGTCCTTTAACACTACTCTGCTTTGGTAAAATGTAATTTATTTGGAGGGCAGAATACAAAGGGCTGTGTTGTGTATAAGTCCAGGAGGCAGCTTTATGGGTAAAGTACAGTATATTCTTACTTTTTGATTGTGTAACCCTATCTTAACATTTCTAAACACTGACAGTAGATACTAGGTCAATTGTATCTCTCAGATCCTCTTCCAGTTTTACACAAATAAACCAGCTTGTCTGTCTTCATATACTGTATATATGTTACTCACAAGGGATGCTTGACAATCTCAAGTTGTTAAACTTCACAATACCCTTTTTTATTTTTTGTATTTTGCCAATTGTTCCTTGTGCTTACATGTTTGTAAAATTTGTCCTAAGTAAGATACCCTGAAAATAGCATGTCTGATAACTATTACTACTCCAAATAATACTAGTACTCAAATATGTTTAATTTACACTAATTAGTGCAACACAACCAAGAGAGAAGAAAGGCAAAAGGGTATTTCTTTCTGTGATATAATATAAACATTCAAATCAATACACTAGATTTCATTTCACATCCCCTCATTTCACAAAATATTGATGGTGGAGGTAAATATTTGATGGTTGAGATAGCACAGTTACTAAAACTAGTTGAAGCAAAGCTGGTCTGATCTTATTAGAAGTGCAATGTCAAGCTGGGACCATCTGGAACGTGGGACAATTAGTAAGCCTGCAGAACACTCAGATGACAAAGCAAGGAGTCACTTGATACAGATTCAATATTCCTAACTTGTTTTTCTAGTTTTAATTAGTGTTTTTCATTTTGACATGACTGGGTGTAAAGGACAAATAAGTATATCTGTTATCAGATGGTGGCAGTGTTCTTCTGTAATTCCGAGAACCGAAGTCCCTGAAAAAAAAGTATAAATCAATCTAATTTTTATAATATAGGTATGTTTAGGTGTTTATTTTATTCTACTTTAACAAAATTATGTATGAAACTAGAAGCACAATTTTTGGTGAAGTTAAAACAATGAGGGACATAAGATGGGTATCTCAGAACCCATAAAGTTTCAAAAAAGCATCGAACATTGAAGAAAAACGTGTTAGAAACAATTCTCTAAAATCTCTTGTCTGTCCTGAAGTCTGAATTTAATAAAGCTTTGCGTCAGTAAAGCCCCAGAAGTCACCATTTCTCAAATGAGATTCAAGCTATATTGGAGAAAATTATTCATAAGAGCTGGCAACATTTTTCATTTCATATTTCAGATGTAGAGCTGTGAGAATTTCTACATCTTCTTTACTAAGGAATACTCTGCCTTTTGAAGACAGTTTTGATATTCTGCATCTGACATGGCTTTTGGATTAAGTGCCTTTTTGTTACAGTATGTGTAAGAGGGCTACTCGATCTGGAGTGTTTAGCCACCCGAGGTCTCTGGTGAGACAATCCAGAGACTGGGAGAAATACCTTAAGATCGCATAAGCACAAGGTTTTGAGAGAAGTAGCCTCACCTGTGTGAAGCCAGACTTTCGGTATAAAGTTGTAGTAAGTGAACAGTCCTCGTTGGCTCAGAGAAGGCAGACCATCGCCGGCCAGTATTCGGTGAGTAGCACAGCTTGTGAAGGGACACTGGGACAGTGAGAAGCCAGGCAAGTGCATTCCTTGCTGTTATGGGGACAGTGAGAAGCGGTGAGATATTGGACTGCGTCCACTCCAGTCGAGCGGGACATGTTGCGAATCTCGTGGTGAGTCACTTGGTCAGTAGTGGAAGGCTGGGAGCTCCCCAGGTCAGGAGTGAGTGCTCTAGGAGTACTGAGATTCCTAGACCGATGTGGTTATTGAGAGCAGGGAAGCGCACAAGAGTAACACCTTCGGTTGTTTCTGTGTCGGCTTGCCGGGAAAGAGAAGACGGGGTTGGAGCAAGACCAGCCAAATGGAATTGACCAGGTTGAGCTGAAATCCACAGCCACTCAATCAATAGCTACAACAAGGTATAGCCATATC